AAAAATTCACTATAGCTCTATAGCGAAGTTGAAGTTCAGGACATAAAATTCGTTATATCAAGGGTTGACTGTAAATTTGTATTTGTATTTGATTTGATTTTCAAATCAAATATTCAAATATCAAATCGAATTGCGGAACCCTAGTATCTCCAACCTCAAAATGATCTATTTTACTAGTAGCTTCTTCTAAAGGGATAAAAGCTTTAACTTTCAAGTACACGATTTTATTCGAATCATTCTCATCCATCTTAACGATCACGATAAGCTATTTTACAGTATAATCTTGCATGATTTTCTCTGAAGAATCTTGTACATAACAAAATGTGTCTAACTTACACGGCATTTTGATATTTATGATATTCTAATATTATATTATTTTTTAAAAATAGAAGTTAAAAAAATCATAATGTTTTTTTGCTTTCGATATAGTAAATAGAAAAAATAATGAAACTCAGCTAAACAAAGAATCAACAAATACGTAAGAAAAATTTCAATTTTCACAGGTATATAAATCTACTTTAATGCTACGCCCACCAAAAAGAGTAAAGATTACATTAAAAAAAATTTGATAGAATGGAAAAAAATTAAAAATCAAAACTCAACTAAACACAAAATATCTCTCGATATTAATTTAAAGAGAAAAGGGATCTATCTAACCTGTTTTTTTATAGGTACTACCACTACTTCGCACTAAGAGAGTAAAAGATTAAATTAATAAATTTGACGAAGTAAAAAAAGTTAAAACTATAAAAATCGAAAATTTACCTAAACAATATCTAAAAGTATTTTTTTAGTGTAAAAAAAATAAATAAAAAATTAATAATTTTTTTTTGATTTTGATTAAGTAAAAAAAAACTCACCTAAATGAAGAACAAAATCGAAACAGCATTTCGACAAATTGAAGTAAGGTTCAGAGGGAAAAGGTATATATCTAAAATTTTTATTTTTTTAAGGATAAAATTAAATAAATTAAATTAATTAATGAATTTTTAATAAATAAAAAGGATAACATTAAAATTGAAACTTACCTAAGTGGCTAACAAAATCCTCGAATAGTCTATCTTTACAAATTCATTATTCCAAGTATCATTTGATATCGTTTCGGAGGAAAAAGATATATAAACTTTTTTAGGTTTTACTACTATGTTTCACGACGAATATAAAAAAAAAAAATAAATTAATTAATATTTTTTTTCTTAGAAAAAAAAACTATAAAATCAGAATATTGAATCTAAACTCACTTAAACAAAGAGACAACGCCTCAGAGAGCTTTAGAGAAACACTTTATTTGAAGTACCTTTTGGAGCGAAAAGATAACTAATTTTTATTTTTTGGTTATTACGCCTCAGCATGAAGATAATAAAATATAAAATTATTTATTTTTAGAAAAAAACTAAAAAATTAGAATATTAAACATGAACTTACGTAAATAAAATAAAGAGGCAGAAATGAAGATAAGTAAAAATTCGGTCTTTTTTTTTTGCTTTAGATAAAAAATTTTATTAATAAATTTTTATATTTTAACGTATATTTTAAATAAAATTCAATAAAAAATGATCGAAAAAAATAGTATACTTTTTAATTCATAAAAAAAAAAGGAAAAATACTTTCAAGAGGTATATAACGATCACGATGACGCAATATCATAATAACGGAATAATTAATTATCTAACGTAACAAATAAATTCTTTCATATTGTTTAAAATCATGCCTACAAAAATTTATCGAATAAGCTTATCAGAAATGATTTACGTAACAAAATAAAGGTTGTTATATTGTTAACATAACTATTTTTATTTATTATTTTTACAAATAAAAATTTAATTTAAATTATTTATTTACAAATAAAAAAAATTTTTTCTATATATATGAGTCTGATTCGGGGGGTGGATGGATAGGCGTCTCTATTTTCCTTCGATTAGCTACTCTAATAGATATTTCAAAATCTAGGTTGATTAGTTACACCGAATTGATTATTAACTCTAAAGACTAAAGAACCAATACTAAAAATCAGAGAGTATTTTTCATAAGCAGATCGCACCAAAAAAAAGTATTTATTGGAATTGTTTTGCCTATTAATGTCAGAGAACTTCACGAGTAACTCCTAAGAAAATCATTGATCATCTACTAATCTAAAGAATCGTCATACTCTAAATTAGAAAGAAACTAACTTGAGAAATATATTCTATGTTAAATAATATAAATAATAGACAAATGAGAAAAATCAATTTACATTTTTATTACTCTATTTGTAAGTATGAATAATCTAGAGATACTTTTCTATGACTTATTTCTTTAGTTTTCTTTTTCAAAACTACTCTTGCTTCTTCAAAATGTCTATACTATATCTACTGACAAGTCTTTTGCAAAGGTGTAAAGGTCATTGTATTATTTTTGCTTTACCTTTATTCTGAGTAAAACTCCTGTCATAAGGTCTGCTAATTACAAAGAAGATACTTTCCTTATAACAGTTTAAGAAAACTGGAAAGCTATTTTTCTTCACTTGCTTATTCTTGTTCAATTTTACACTTCAAAGAAATTATATGCAAAGATTATGATATATATTCGATGAGTGTATATGTTTGCGGTAACTCACATGATGTCAAAAAGAAATCGAAGAATGACTGTTTTCAAAACCATATGCATTTACACATGTCATTAAAGAATGTAAGTAATATATTAACTTATTAATGTATCTTTTGTAATTTAACATAATCTGTGATTTTCAGACATAGAATTGTTCACTTCGACACAAGTTTATTCTATTATGGTATGCATAATTAAATTTTAGCTCAGAAAAAATATATCAAAAGTTATTCATGAATTAAAGTCATCTGAGCTAATTGACTTAATTAATGACGATATTATATCGCTGAATGGTAATTAATTATGAGAAATATAATTTTTTTAATATATAAGTGTATAATAAGAATTCTATAGCATTGTTAACGTCATTTTTAGCTTTAATTTAAGTCCCAATTCACTTTATGTAACCTTTATACATAAAGATGCATAATTTCCTTTTATGGTATTTGTCGTGTAATGTATCAAGATTCAATTTATTTAAAAATTGGAATAAAAATTTTAATGTTTTGTTATTAATAAAAGTTACGTATTTTATATTTTTAATTAATACATAAAACTATATTAATTAGGCTAGATTTGCTATTATTTTAAATATTTAGCAAAATTATCAATAATTTTAAAATATTACAAGACTTTTTCGCTTGAAATGATATATGTTTAATAGATTCATCCATATTCATAAGAAAAGTTTTATAGAAGATAGTTTTGTCTTTTGATTCTTCTACATAACAAATAAGAAATTTGTAATTCTTATTTCTATTAAAAGGTGACATATATTTTGGAAAAAATTCTTTCTTTTTATCAGAGTGAAAAAATTATCTATCTATATATCATATAATTAGCATAATTGCTAAGGTAAGAATCATAAGCTCGAATATAAACAAAAGCATATACTAATTATCAACTAAAGCCTTACCAGCTTCTAATACAAGAATGAGTGAAGCGGGATACTATCATATTTTTCCTTGGTTTTTTGATCATTATAGTGAATAGGGTGATCTCTTTAGGACTTTATTTCATTTTTTACTTTGCTTTCATCAGGTTCAGGTTCTAAGCAATTTGAAGAAAAAGTAAATATCTCTTCTACTGCATTGCTACCTATTATATTTGAATCATAAAATGACTGATGTAGTTCTAAAGGAAGCTGTTCTAATTTATCTTCCAGATCACTTATCCTAGACCTGAAACAGAAAATTAACCTATCCTTGAATGATGAATTTTGCATAACTTACTTCCTTTTCATTTTCTAATTCCTTTACCTTAATCTTAAAAGAGAAATTATTATACAACTGGTGATATCAGAATTCTTAATAAAGCTTATTATACAATTTATTCTAACTTAACCTCCAGTTTATTTATTTTTTTTTAAAAAAAGTAATATTAGAATCCTTCAAAAATGAAGTTTTTTGCATTGAAGATATTATGCTTTTCAATGATTTAACTATAAACTTTAGCAATTTTGGTTTCTTCTAAATACCTGTTTTAAGTATAATATAAGACTTTTATTCACAAATGATTTGGGATTTGAGCTTAGTATTTATATTATTTAATTATTGCTAGTTTATTTTAGAGAATCTTATATATGCTCATTTTTTCATGAAAACTATCTAGATTATTATACATACGCTTATTTTCTTCATAGAATAGATTATTTTGTATTTTTTTCATTATCTAAAGCATGATACTTAGTTATAATCTATCTAGTAGACTTTATAATCATTTCACAATTTTTTTTAGCTTTTTTCAAGCTCTAAATGACTAGGTGGGTATTGATTGGATAGAAGTAGTAATACCTGACAAAATTACTTTTCTTAATATGATGAAATTGATGAAACTAAAATAGCAAAACTAGTTTTTTATTAAGATGAAATTATTTTACTTAATTGCCAAAATTATATTTAACTTGATCTAAATTCCTTAAATTAAAATACATTAAAAAA